AATATACGGGATTCAAGAACATAGAATATAGTGCAGTTATGTTATGGAGTGATATGGTGCAGTTATGTTTATGGAGTGACGTTGCAGTTATGTTATAGGGTGATTTCACAGTGGAGGCTTGTATTTGTACTAAGTCGGTCCTAAAATAGGTTCGACGTACAAAACGTTAGGAACTTGATATAATAGGTATTACGCAGATTAATCTTGTTGTGGTCGCTGACACTTTAGTATCCGACTAACTATCGTCCGACATCGATCTGACTAACCGACGATATTCAGTCACCCCCTTCCCTACGAGGGCGTCATGTGGCACAGGGCCTTTTTAACATGGGATCTCCGAGCCCGTGGGCTCGGCAAAAAATATGCCCATTGAACCCGTATAAATGGGTGCAGGGTCGGTTTACCTCCCCGAAAGAGAAGCCGCACTTCGACGTAGCCTCCTTCGGGTTCCTCCCTGCCCGAAGGCAGAGAGTTCAACCGGTCAGCCAGTCGACTGACTGCCCGACCCCCTGAGCGACTCCTACTACTTCTATTTATTATAGGTCGGAGAGTCTATTAACAATAGAATAGGTGTGTTCCACTATAACAAGTTAAAACTTTCAAGGCTGTAGTTATCAGTGAAGCAAGGATTCTGAAGGGAGTTACAAAGTGCGAGAAAAGAAAGTGTTTTACTAGAAGTGGCGGTTGCATCTAGCTAGTTCGACAGCAAAACAGTGAGACTTAGATTCCAGTGTAATAGCACGCTTAAATTCATGCAGCTGGGGCACCAGGATAAAAAGCTCGTCAGAGAAGTAGCCATGAAAATATCTGTAGAAAAGGCAGGGGGAATCCACGCCACCTCGGTGAGAAAGTGACTGAAGTCGAGATGCCAGGTCAGGATCGATTATATTGCAGGCCCTTCTTTGGATTTTGTCAAGGACCTCGAGAGGAATAACAGGAGCAATGCACGGACGAATAGTAGATTTGTAAATTTACAAGATGGAGTTTAACGGGAAAAATCTTCTGGTACAACACAGTGATCTAACTTTCCTTGCAGTAGATGCAGCTATTGATTCGATGTAGTCATTCGACTTCAAGACAAGTGAAAACATAAGGCCAAGAAGGCGCTGTGTGTTGCTTTTCAGAAGTTTAGCGTCAGCCATACTGATGGCAGAAAGGTTTCTCTATGATGAGAACAGTTTTGTTTTAGAGGCGTTAAAATTTACAAGCCATTTCCTGCTTCAGTTAATCTCTGATTAGAGGTCCTCTTCACGGGCAGCAACCGGATTTGCTGTATGAAAAAAACTAGACACAACTGAGATGCAATTGTTGACAATCCCAGAAAATCCATGACGTCACTCGCGAAAGATTTCCATGTGTCAGAAGGAACAAACAGAAATATTGTCCACAATGACACCAGACATAAGTTTTATGTGATGAGGAAAGGTCAAGTTATGTTAGGAAAAAAAAAACCAAAAGAAAATCGCTTAATCAGATCTGAAAAGCTCTTAAACAAACTTAAAAAATCAGATGACGTGATTTGGTTTTTCTCGGACGAGAAAAACTTTGACCAAGATCAGAAATTTAACAGAAAAAAATGACAGATTTTTATGTGCATACGTTTTTGATGTTCCAGCAATTATGACGTCCTGGGTATGATGATAAATTACATCCGCGTCCTCGGGAAGACGATAAACAAACATCCATTTAAAGGCCTCTGATCGGAATGTTTTTGCAAGCCGCCTCTTAATTATCAATACAAAGGTTCCAATTGACCTGGGATGGTGACACTGGTTGAACAGTGATGGTTGTTTTAAAGCTGGAGTCAAAAACACTATGAAAGTGTAAACATAGGTTTTAATACCAGCAATATGTTTTGTAACAAATTATTACCAGCAATACGTTATTACCAGCAATACATTTTTGAAAATATTACAAGCAATATATTTAAAAAAAAAATTTCCAGCAATACATTTAATTGTAAAAATAGGTTTTAATACCAGAAATACATTTTTGTAAAAAAATTATTACCATCAATGAAGGTTTTACCAGTCACAATACATTTATGAAAAATACGTTACAATTTTTAAATATTTTTTGAAAAAAAAATATTACCAGCAATACATTTTTGAAAAGAAATATTACTAGCAATAAAAATCTTGTCGGCATTAAATAACACATTGAGGTTGATTTGCAACAAATTAACAAAGCCAAACCTGCAGTTATGCAGATAAAACTTCCTGCAACTGTCGTTGTTTTGGGAGTTGTCAACAATGAAGGACATGTGATGCCTCCTCGCTTCTTTCCAGAAAGACAGAGTCATCTCCGCTACCTACATTGAAGTCCTGGAAACATTTGTTGAACCCTGGATGGGCAGTGTACGCAATGGAAGCCCTTATGGGTTTTAGAAAGACTATGCACTCTCACAAAAGGCTCAATTAACGTAGGAATAAATGGCAGAAAATTTTCAGGATCCCATAACCGTTAGCATTTGGCCCCTAACTGCCCAGATCTCAACCCTTTGGATTAATACGTGTGTGTCATTGTTAAGAGTAAAGTCAATGAAGACCTCCATAACACCAAAGATTCTTTGAAATCTGCCATCATAATGCCCAATATATTAATGGCCAGTATGAACCAGGGCCAGTTAATTCGAGCATGAAGCAGTTATTGAAGCTGAAGCTGGTTTTATTGAATAAGATCATAAAAAAATAGTATATTTTTATGCTTATAGAACTTAACCATAATAATAAAGCTAAATATATCTGTTTTCAAAAAACATAAATTTGTTTTGTAAAAACCTAGATAAATATGTATTAAAAAATAGAGAATAATGCATATTTATATAAAAAACACTAACAATACATATTTATAATAAATTTACTAACATTACAATTTTATGTTCAAGTTATTTTAAATAATAGTTAGCATTTATAATGAAAATGACGGATTAATAAACATATGGTGAGAATTGTCTAATTTGAATAAAATTTTATATAAAATGACAGGGGTTACATTTTCCTGATATATACATAAAATTAAGAAGCAAAATCACACTGGAGTAAAATGGAAAACCAACAATAAATCTGGTAGTTGAAGGCATAAAATTTAGCAAAATATATTTAATTGAATTAATAAAATTGTATTCAAAATATTTAAATTTATTTTGGTAAATAACCCTGATATAAAAATGTATTTTTAGTAAAAATCAACCAACCAACAATACATATTTATAGTAAAATGACCAACAATACATTTTATCTGTAGTTGAAGGCATACAATTGCGTTCAAAATATATTTAGTTGAAGCCATAAAATTGTGTTCAAAATATTTAGATTTCGGCATTAAATAACCCATAGAGGTTTTGATATGCCTTCATTAAACAAAATCAATCCAAACAACCGGACGAGTTAAAATTCAGCAAACAAAAACATTGTTTCAGTGAATTGCCCAAAATACATTTTTAAAATATCCAGTTGATCTCGGAAATGACGCCCAAAACCAGTTTGGGCATAAAAAGTGGAATATTAAATTTAATGACGCTGAAAAAACTGTTGTATATAATCATATTAAAAATTCATTTTTTTACCTTCAATCAGTATGCAATTGATGCGTAACCCCCTGAAATTTCTTACATTTGAATCATGAACATCATTCAAATTATATTGAATTAATGAAGTTTTGCTTTAAAGCCGATTCAATGGTTTGTTTTAATGAAGACTTAGTTATTTCTCGACAGAATCTATCAAAAACGTTCAAAAGGTCCAACATTGTCCTCTATTAAAATAAGCACCTGCATTCTGGCAGAATGCCAGAACTTCTGTTTTATATCTGGACAGATTTTTGACTCAATCAATGAAGAACCAGCAATGAAATGACCTGTCATCTCGTACTTCATTTCGATTAATAAAGTTGGGAAAATTATTCTGATGACTTTTCGAAACATTGAAAAAAGGAATTTACTTACGCAGTTTCAAAAAATGTAAGATGGGTCTTTATTTTTCACAGAAAAAAATTAGAAAAGAAACTAAAGTTCTATATTTTTGAATTTTTTGTGAAAATAAATATAAAAAATTTTTCCCTGAAAACTGAATGCAGTTTTTTTAAACAAATTTTGTCAATTGATAAAATGAATTCCCCAGATGGTTTTTCCTAAAAGGAAACGGTTTTAAAAGAAAAAAATAAGAATAACAGTCTGTAAATGATATTTACCTTAAGATGGAGGAAAAGATACTAAAAACCAGCTTTTTTATTTTATTATGATTTACTTGAAATGTAAGAATAAGAATTTTTCGAACTGAAAATTCCGATTCCTTAATCAATTAAATCCACTACCCAAAAAATTTCTAGTATTCGTGAAAAATCTTTTAGATTTTAAAATCAGTTAGGATTTGTTTCCAGGAAGAAATGACAGACAGCGGGGAAAACTCTGTAAAACGGGGTGAAAGAATTGATGACGCATCAGTGTTCTCCTATTGAATTGAAATATAATAAAAGGAATGACAGTTGCAGAAATTTTTTGTTAACTGATGGAAATAACCAAAGGAATAAAGTTTGCATTTAAATCTTTGAATTTTATTCTTTTTAGTAGGACACATTGCCTTGATTAAAAATAAATATTATAAAAAAATCCAAGAATCCATATTTTTTTTTTTTCTCAGGAAAATTCTTTCAGGGCATAAGAGCACACAAAAGAATTAAATTGGGAAAATCATCTAGGAGAATATCAGGAAAAAATGTTAACAGGTTTTAGAAAAAAATTTCGAACAAAATAAAGACTGAGTAGAATTTGAGTAAAAAGAAACTGGTAACATATTTTCTCAGATAAATTCTTTAAAACATATCCAATGAATATATAAAAATTTTTTTCTTTACGGCAATTTAGTTTCAAGGAAAATCAAACTAATAATAGAACTGAATGAATATTTATAAAGAAAATTTTTTCTGATATTTATTTGATTTATTTAGAAAAAGTAAATAAAAAAAGCAAAGAAATGAAACATTTTTAAGGAATGAGATTTTTAAAGGAAGAAAGAAAAAACAAATAAAGAAGGAAAGAAGGAATAAAATGTAACAAAGAAACAAAGAAAGAATTTATGAAAAGAAATAATTAATGGAAATTGAAGAAAGAAAGAAAGACTAAAGAAAGAAAAAAGAAAGAAAGAAAATTGATGAACAAGATTTTAAACGAAAGAAAGAAAGAAACATCACAAATAAACAAAAAAATTTGAGGAAAAAGGAAAAAATTTATGAAGAAACAAAGAAAGAATCTAAGAAAGAAATTTTAAATATCCAACAATGTAGAAAAGAAAGAAAGAAAAGAAAAACACGGACATTAAAAAACAAAGATTATTTTCTAGAAAGAAAAGAAACATAAAAAAAACAAAAGAAATATTTATATTGTCCGAAATCAAAGAAAGATAAAAAGAAGAAAGAAAGAAAGCGTTAAAATATTGTAGAAACAAAAGAAAGAAAGAAATGTATAAAGAAAGTCTTAAAAAAAGAAAGAAAAAAGAAAGAAAGAAGGAAAGGAAAAGATTTAAATGTGAAAGAAGGATAAAAAGAATGGGATACTGAAAGAAAGAAAGAAAGAAAGAAACATTAAAGAAAGAAAGAAAGAAAGGAATATTCTAGAAAGAAAGAACAGGATTGAAACAAAAGAAAGAAAGAAAGAATGAAAGAAAGAATTTTTTACTCAACCGTGTGGGGAAAAAAAACAAAAAGAGTTTGAAGAAGAAAAATGGAAACAAAAAAGAAGGAATCTTGGAGAAAGAAAAAAAAGAAAAAACAAAAAAAACAAACAAACAAAAAAAAACTGAAAGAATCCATGATGAAATGAAAGAACACATAAGGAAAGAAGAAGAAAAATCATGAAAAAAGAAAGATCAGAAAGAAGTAATATATGATAAAAAAAAAGAAGAAATGATATCGAAAAGAAAATAAAGAAAAAAGAAAAAAGAAAATAAAGAAAAAAAAAAAAAAAAGAAAAAATTAAAAGAAAGAAAGCAACAAACATAAAAGGAAAAGAAAAAAAACGCTTGAAGAAAGAAAAGTCGTTAAAGAAAGAAAAAAGAAAGAAAGAAAGAAAAAGGAAAGAAGGGTCATCGTAGAAAGAAAGAAAAAAGACAGAAATGAGACAGTGTAGAAAGAAAAAAAAAGAAAGAAAGAAGATATTGCAGAAAGAAGTAAAGAAATAAAGAAATCAAAAATAAAAAAAAGAAAAATGAAAGAAAGAAAGCAAGAAAGAAAGCAAGAAAGAAAGAAAGAAAGAAAGAAAGAAAGAAAGAAAAAAAAGAAAAAGAAAGAAAAAAAGAAAGAAAGAAAGAAAGAAAGAAACAAAAAAAGAAAAAGAAAAAGAAAGAAAGAAAAAGAAAGAAACTGAGAAATTAAAGAATGAAAGAAATAATGCAAGAAAGAAAGAAAGATTGAAGAAAGAAAGAAAAATAAAGAAAAAAGGAAAAAAAAGAAAAAAAGAAAGAATTGAAAAGAAAGAAAAAAGAAAGAAAGAAAGAGAAAAAGAATCAAAGAAATTCGAAAAAAAAAAAAGAAAAAAAAAAAGAAAGAAAACAAAGAAAAGAAATAAAAAAGAAAAAGAAATAAAGAAAAGAAAGAAAATGAAAGAAAAGAAAGAATGAAAAGAAAGAAAGAAATAAAAGAAAGAAAAAAGAAAGTAAGAAAGAAAAAAGAAAGAAAGAAAGAAAGAAAGAAAGAAAGAAAGAAAGAAAAAAAAAAAGCCTTTTTGAAAGAAAAGAAAAAAAAGAAAGAAAAAAAAAGAAAAAAGAAAGAAACTAAAGAAAGAAAGAAAGAAAAATTAAAAAAGAAAAAGAAAGAAAATTTCAAAAGTAAAATCGTGGTTTTTTGTTGTTTTTAAAGAAAAGAAGATGTGAAAGAAAAAAAAGAAAAAAAAAAGAAAGAAAAGATAAGAAAGAAAAATGTAAAGAAAAAAGAAAGAAAAGACGATTACAAAGAAAAAGATATCCTAGAAAGAAAAATAAAGAAAGAACAAAAAAAGAAAGAAAGAAAATTTAAAGAAAGAAAGAAGAAAAAAAATTTTTGTGAATTTTATTAAATTTTTATGCTTTAAAAATGCATAGAAACATGAAAAAAGAAAGATTTGAAAAATTGTATTCAAAGAATGTTGGACCAAATTTTTGAGGTCAAAGAAAGAAAAAATGAAAAAAAAAAAAAAGAAAAGAAAAAAAAAAGACAACGGTTCAAAATATGAAAGAAATTTCGGGGAAATATTTAATATCAACTGCCGAATAAGTTTTCTTGAGTCAGAAAAGAAAAGAGAGAAACCTTTCTCCAGACAATGAGAAGTTAATTAAAAAGTATGTCAATATCACGAAACTTGATATATTAAAAATATATGTAAAATATATAAAAATAATTGTATGTGTGTGTGTGTGTGTTAAAAATATGATAAAATTACAAAGTATGGGTATGTTTTGGCTTACGCGTGTGTATTTATAAAAATGAGAAAAAAAGCGCCGAAAATCTAGGTTGGCATTTGTTGTCTATGGCAACAATTTATAAGATTTTACCAAAACAGAAAAAGAAAGCCTTTTTCAGGACGTGGGCGGCCAATCAAAATCCCAACAATTAAATAATGCTTTTGAAAAGCTCTTAGTAATGTTTGTCTTTTTATTATCTACCCACTCCATTTACACAATCTTAGGTAAAGTACTCGGTGTTTTCTCCTTCCCCTCTTACGTTCGGAAAAAATGGGTTTTATATTCCAAAAAAGCCTTCTTTCCTCACGATATCGGAAGAATGTTCAAAAAAATTTATGATTCTAATATAAAAAATTTTTTATTTCATTTTTCTTAAAACTTTCTCGTTACTTCATAATTATTCTCAGCATCCCTTCCTCCTTCGGTCCCACCTTTTCATTGTCGAAACAGTTAAATTTAACCGGAAAAAGACTCCAAAAATGGAAAATCTTGCACTTCCCGACAGTGGAACTCCCTTCCTATTATTTACTTCTCTGATAGCTATTACCTTTAAATATTCAAATGTAATATCAATCGACATCTACTGATGCCTTGATCCTGGATCCCGTCCTTCTCTATATCCTTTCCTCGAACACCCCTCTTTACTCTTTCCCTCACTCTCTGTAACCCCTTGCGTGCTAATGGCACTCCCGCCTTTCTTGGAGTGAAATTCTTTTAAAAAAATCCTTTTGTAGGACCATATTTCTGTTGTCTCAAATTTTCTCTCCATCTTACTGTCCCATAAGAGGGCTAATATTACATGATAATTCAGCACACTTTTCTTTATTCCTAATGTAATTATCTTGTTACTATGTATATTTTCTGGAATGCATTTTTCACTAGTCCAGAGAATATTCAGATTACAAGGTCACATTTTCCGTTACATTTACCATTTACCAGACCGACACCTACCATATATCTGTAAAAACACTTACCAGATGTTTGCTAAAACACTTATCAGATGTCTGTCAAAATACTTAAGAGATATTTACATTTCTGCAATTGCTTGATGTTTACAACCCGAGTTTGTAATTCGGATTTCAAGTTTTTCTCTCATTCTATTTTTTAAATATTAATATTTAGTCCTTTTTCCCCTTTAAAATCCAGGTGTACAGCATTGTAGAAAGAACGAACGAAACATCACAGAAAGAAAATAGAAAGAAATAAAGAAACAAACAAAGATGCGGAGAGAAGGACAAAAATGTATGAAGAAACAAAGAAAGCGTCTTAGAAAGAAATAACGAATGGACATTGTAGAAAGAAAGAAAGAAAGAAAGAAGAATAGAGACATTGTAGAATGAATTAAAGAAAGAAAGAAAGAAAGAAAGAAAAGAAAAAATGAAAGAAAGAAAGGAAAAGACTTTGTAGAATGATAGAAAAAAAGGGGATACTGTAGAAAGAAAGAAAGAAAGAAAGAAAGAAAGAAAGAAAGGAAAAGACTTTGTCGAAAGAAGGAAAAGAGAACGAGATATTGTAGAAAGAAAGTAAGAAAAAAGAAATAAAAGACATCGTAAAAAGAAAGAAAGATATTGTTGAAAGAAAGAAAGAAAGAAAAAAGAACGAAGAGACATCGCAGAAAGAAAAGAAAAAGAAAGAAAGTTGAAAGAAAGAAAAGAAAGAAAAGAAAAGAAAGAAAGAAAAAAAAAAAGAAAAAAAAAAAGAGAAAAGAAAATTCTTTTTTTTTTGAAAGAAATGAAAGAAAAGAAAGAAAAAAAAAAAAAGAAAAAAATACTTTTGTTAGAATGAATCAAAAAGGGGATATTGAAAAAGAAAGAAAAAAGAAAGAAAGAAAGAAAGAAAGAAAAAATATAAAGTCAAAAGAAAGAAAGAGACATCGTTGAAAAAGAAAGAAAAACGATATTGTCAAAAAAGAAAGAAATAAAGAGACATTGCAAAAGAAAGAATTAAAGAAAGAAAGAATGAAAGAAAGAAAGGAAAAGACTTTGTAGAATGAAGGAAAAAAGTAAGGGGATATTGTAGAAAGAAAGAAAGAAAGAAAGAAAGAAAGAAAGAAAGAAAGAAAGAAAAAGAGAAAAATATAAAGTCAAAAGAAAGAAGAGACATCACAAGAAAGAAAGAAAGAAATTAATAAAAAAAGAAAAGAAATAATAGAGACATTGAAAGAAAGAATTAAAGAAAGAAAGAAATCCCCCCAAAAAGAAAGGAAAAAAAGACGATATTGTAGAATGAAGAAATAATAAAAATTAAAGAAAGGGAATTGTAGAAAGAAATTGCTTTTAAAGAAAAGAAAGAAAGAAAGAAAGAAAGAAAGAAAAATATAAAGTCAAAAGAAAGAAGAGACATCGTTGAAAGAAAGAACGATATTGTAAAAAGAAAGAAATAATAGAGACATTGTAGAAAGAATTAAAGAAAGAAAGAATGAAATGAAATTAGAAACGGGAGATATCTTAGAAAGAAAGAAAGAAAGAAAGAAAGAAAGAAAGAAAGAAAGAAAGAAAGAAGGGACATCCTAAAAAGTAAAAAAAATGAAAGAAATGATATATTTTAGACAGAAAATAAAGTAAAAAGAAAAACCAGACATCGTAGAAACAAAAGAAACATCGTAAAAAGAAAGACACAAAGATATCATAAAAAGGAACAAATGTGACAAGGAGCAATATGAAAAGAAAAGGAATGCTATGAAACAGAAAACACCAAGTGAAGAGAGGCGTTTTCGAATAACCAAGATATTGATATGCCTTAAAAACTTTGAAATATTAATGCTACAAATTTTATTTAGAAAACAAAATACAATCTTTTGTAAGCGTACAAACGATATCAGATTATTAATAGAAGATAGAATTAAGAATGACTTGATCCAAAGGTTAATTTTATCGATAACAAGGCAGCATGAATGTAAAATTTCCCAAAATTACTCAGAACTATTAATAGATAAACTTAAAACAATGGCAATAGGGTAAGGCTACAGGAAGATGAGGCAAGTGCGAAGTTTTAATTTAGAAGTTTGTCGGGAAATGGGTCGATCCCGTTCTTAATAGAAGCATATCAGTACGTTCGCTCCAGAAAAAAAAGCAAATACGTCACCAGTAAAGAACAGAGCAGAGTTGGGTTGGGATCAGAGAAGAGTTGGGTTAGAGACAGTGAGGAAAGGGTGTCAGAGATTGTAACAAAGCGCCCGCTAGCATGTGCTGCTTCAGGTACCACTAATATTACTACTACTATTACTACTACTGAGGACAGGAACATCGACGGTTGTAGTAGTTGCGCTAAGAACAGACCAAAAAGGTGTTAAAAAACGAAGTCAATTTCTCTCCTTTAACGAAATTACACTCGACCAAATTTTCTTTTGTTTTTTGTTGATCATCGTTCATATAGTTTAGACATTCAGCAATTTTTTTGCCACGAGAATTTAGAATTATATTATTGTTTTTTTTTGTATATATATATATATATATATATATTTAGTTTTTATTTAGTTTATATAAATGTATATATACATAAATATATATATATATATAAAACTTTTTGTACCCAACTATTCAAAATTCGATTTATATATATTTAAAGGATAACCTGATTTTCACCCAACAAGTTTTCGCACCCGTAGACCAATTCAGCATTCGGAAACTTTCCGATAACTTGAACCTCGCTGGGCAGCAAAAAATAGTGCTAACAATTTTGTGCATGTGTAAAAATCGACATTTGAAAGTTAGACTTTATTCTATAATTTTTCTTTTCTCAGGACCAACTTAAACGAGGAAAGATTCTTTCACAACCTTTATTTTAGGATTGAATTTCTATGAACGCCTTTGACCAAAGTACCACGTGATTCCTGGTGCTAACGTGTGAAAGGATAATTTCGAAAAAAAAAAAATGAAGAAAGTATTAAAGAAAGAAAGAAAAAATAAAGATTTGAACAAAAAAGAAAGAATAGATATTGAAGAAATGAAAAGAATCACCTCATCTCAAATATAAATATATAAAGATAGAAAGAAAATAAAGAAAGAATAGATATCAATAGATACAAATGAATATAATTATGTTTAAATAATATATAAGAAAAGAAATGAAAGAAATACAATTAAATAAGAGATATCACCGGAAGAAAAAAGGAAATAAGAAAGAAAGAAGGAATACTATTCATAGAAAGAAAGACAGAATTGATCAATCATAGAACAAAAAGAAAAATGGAAGAAAAGAATAAAAAAAGAAAGAAAGAAAAAAAGAAAGAAAGAAAGAATAGTTATCGAAGAAAAGATAAAGAAGATTAATGTAGACAAATCCAAAAAAAAAGAAAAAAAATTTGCGAAAGAAAGAATAGATATCAGAACACAGGAAAAAAATAAGACAAGAAAAGAAAAAAGAAGGGCTTAAAATTTGAGATTTAGAAAGAATATAAAAAAGAAATAAAAAAGAAAGAAGAGAGAATACCTTGAAAAGTATCAATAGAAAAAAAAAAAAAGAAGAAAAAAATGAAAAAAAAGAAATTTAGTCCACATTAATAAAACTTGGAATTCAATTTGAGCAATTTAACTTCCCCGTGTTTGGGCTATATATATATATACTGACATGAAGTGGGGTATATATTCATTTATATCGGTTTAATCAAGGAAATATGTTCATATGGCTGTATCGTGCCACCATGGACAATTTGAAAGAATCCATTTTGCCATTTATAAATCTACCATTCATTTAGCATTGAATACCACTGAATATCTCGTTTCACCATATATAAAGTAGGGATACAAATGACCCTGGACGAATTTTTTCTAATACGAAATCCATTACTAACAATGAAGTTTGTATTGAAATATATGCTTCTTGTTCATTCCATATTAATGCTGTGTCCCCCAGGGCTCTATCCATGGAGTTACTATATTTTAAAATCTTCATCAATGGCATTACTGATGTAAAAAAGTGAAACAGAATTGTCTTTTAAAACACATTTTTTCCTCCCTTAGTAGCAGATTTGATAATGTAAACCTGGATCTTAGGTTGGGTATGTTCCTCCAATCAGTGGTTAACTGGGGCAAGGACCATTTGTAAATTTAAAAATTTATGAAAATATGCAGATTTTTCATTTAATCATAGAGAATTTTTTATATTTACAATCTTAATGACTGTTGCTAAATTCCAATAGAAAGTTAACTATTTATTTTTTCTTGGGCTCTGTTTCATTAACTGACATGAATAAAATTGATTATATTGAATCAATTACTTGATTGCAAGGAAAATTGGTTCATTTTATATCAAGATATATTAAGGTTCAATGGAAAATATAAATAAAAATTTTTTACGGGTATTTCCAGTGATCAACAAACCTAATAGACATAAAATATTTATTATTTGTGATAATGTTTTATATAGCATCAGTTCCCAACGAAGTATTGATGCTATGACATATATTTATATATATAGTACTTCGGTCCAAGGTTCGAAGAGAGAGTCAACCTGGCACCGGTTCTCGAAAATGTCAGTCAATGGTTAAACCTAAGCAAAATTTTAATTTTAACGCCTCCATAACAAGACTGCTGTCATTTATTAACCAGAGAGAATCTTGTCTGCCTTTTAGTCATCATGGCTGATGCTAACCTCCAAGAGAGCAACTTATTGCGCCTTATTGGTCTCATGTTTTCTACTGACATGAAGTGGATCGATTATATTGAATTAATATCTAGATCTGCTGCTAGGAATTTGGGTACACGGTGTCATACACAACAATTTTCTTGTCAGAATCTATCTTACATATTTATACGTCTACCATTCGTCCGTATATTGAAAATTCCTGCCATATCTGGTCTGATGCTACTGTTATATATCTCGAGATTCTTGACAAAATCCAAAGAAAAGTATGTAATTTAATCGATCCTGACCTGGCGTCTCGACTTCAGTCACTTTCTCACCATCGTAGCGTGTCTTCCTTCTGTCTTTTCTACAAATATTTTCATGCCAACAGCTCTGAAAAGCTTTTCTCCCTTATGCCCTGATTACATGGATTTAAGCGTGCTACTGGATTGGCAGTTAGGTCTCACCGTTTTTACTGTTGAATTAGCAAGATCCAACAGCCACTACTGCTACTCTAACGGTTTCTTTTCTCGCATTTTTCCCCTGTGGAATTCCCTTCCGTTTACTTGTTTCCGTCACCTACAATCTTCATCTTTAAATGGAACGTCAATCCCTATTTTCTGTCTTCCTGAACCTTTTTTCTTTATTGTTCTTCTCTTCAATAAAGTCTTCTTTTTCTCTCGGCTGAATCGAACTAATTCAACAGTTAAACTCTGTGGGCTACTTACAATATGTTATAGAGTATTTTAATCATTTCATTCCAAGCAAGGCAATAAAGCCACTAAGGTGGAAACGGTTACAATCTAAAATTAAAAAGACGAGAAAAAAAAACATTATCAAAACAGAAAAAAAAAAATTGGAAACTTACAAAAAATAACGATTGACAAATATTAACTTTTAAAGATAAAAGTTGACTGGGAATTAGAAACCAGAAAAGAAAAAACAAACGAGAAGTGCGAAAGAAAAAACTTGTTAGCATAAGGACTTTGGTTTTTTTTTAATTTATTGATTAAGCAAGGTGATAATGCCAATAGGATGCAAGTGGTTTCCGATCGATTTTTGCCAATGATCCACTTTAACATTTAAAGAAGGTATATGTAAATAAGTTACTCATGTACGTACATAGAATATATATATATATATATATATATATATATATATATATATATATATATATATATAAATATATATGCATATTATATGCATCATATGTATTGGGAAAATGGAATTTTAAAACTTTACTCAGACCCACTAGAAAACAGTTCACTGTTAATAACCCATTTCGAATTGTTTTATTCTCAAAGTCGAAATGTGTCGTCCTACGTTAACCCTGTCCCTAAAAAAATATTACCATTTATTACCGGTGGGAATCATTTTTGGAGAGAAAGACAATGAGAAGATTTTAGTGAGGACAGGATAATAAAAATGGCGATTGACGTTAAATTTAAAGAAATCTGGCGGGAGTTCCACAGGTGAGAAGTGCGAGAAAATAAGCTATTAGAATAGAACAGACGGTTACATCTAGCTCGTTCAACAGTAAAAAGGAGGGACCTAGTTGCCAATCTAGTGCTACGCTTAAATGTATGCAGTCGAGACCCGGAGGAGAAAAGCGTGTCAGAATAATTGCCATGAAAATATTTGTAGAAAAGACAGAGGGAAACAAACGTTACGTCGTTGAGAAAGAGACAAAAAAAAATATCAGGGTAAAATTATATTACAGAAATTTTTGATTTTTTAAGAATCTCGAGATATATATGGCAAAATCATCATTTTGTATACGCATGTATATATATTTACATAGGCGTCAGTATTGAGAACTCCATTGAAATTGGAACTCTCTAATTGGTCTTCCAGACACGCATCACGGCAAGCGTCCAAAACACACACAATCACGCGCCCAACAAAAGACAGGGAATATATTTAGGGCATGTAAACAAAGCGGTGAACAACAAAATATATACATCACGTGTCGTACAGGGAATGAGGTCAACAAGGACATTCATTTAAAAATCTAAATTGTTGACTGGAAAAGTTTTTTTTTGCAGAACCAGTTGACAAAGGTCTTAGCCTAATGAAACTACAATACTCGGAAATTTTTTTTTTTTAAAACGTTTGATTATTTATATATATATATTATATATATATATATATATATGTTTTGTGTGTGTGTGTGTGTGTGTGTGTGTGTGTGTGTGTGAAAAATATATAGAAAATAGGAAAGAACTCGTTAGGTAAATAATCCAAAGTTCTTTAGTATTTTTGTTATTATTTAAAAAAAATAGTGCTCGATACAAAAAGTAGAGCATAAATATAATTATTTATTTAAAAAAATTCCAAAAAATAAATGTTGAAATAAAATATTTTAAATAAATAATATTTATATATATAATATTTAATATATATATATATATATATATATATATATAATATATATTTTAATAAATAAATGAAATAAAAAATATATATATATATATATATATATATATATATATATATATATATATATACGAGGGACATTCAATAAATAAGGTGAATTTTTCGGTATAAGGACTACTAATACAGATAGAAGCTTACTTTTTTTTTATTTTTTTTTTTTTTTTATTTTACTTCTTTTTCACATGGATTTAATTTCTTTTGTAGATTAAAAAAAAATCTTTGAGAGTTTTGGTGATTAACAAAGATGGCCGACCAAGAAGCATGCTCCAGGATTGAACAGCGGTCAGTTATCAAGTTTTTGGTTGCTGAAGGTGCAAACCAGTTGAAATTCATAGGAGAATGTCAACTGTATGGTGCCACATGTTTCAGCCAAAAAATGTCTACAAGTGGGCTAAATTCTTCATTAAAACAGGACGGAGCAGTGTTGAGGATGAAGACAGGCCTGGGAGGCCTACAGAAGTGAGGTCTCCTGAGGTGATTGAATCAGTCAATGACCTCATTCAGTCTGACAGAAGAACTACTGTGAACTGCTGAGGCAGGTCAAGAAAGACATAAAGAACAAACGCAGGGGGTCATCAGTCAGAAGGAGTCATCTTGCATCATGACAACGCAAGGCCTCACACAGCAGCCCAAACGGTGCAGACCATCAACGAGCTGGGCTGGGAACTGCTCCCTCATCCCCTTACAGCCCAGACCTTGACCCTTCAGACTTTCACCTGTTTGGTCCCTTGAAAGCGTTCACGAGAGGCACGAAGTTTAAAAGTGACGATGAAGTCAAATTTGTTGTGAGCGACTGGCTGAGACATCAGTCCAAAGATTTTTACGCTGAGGGAATACGGAAGCTTGTGCACAGATGGGAAAAGTGTGTGACAGTGCTGGGAGACTACATTGAAAAATAAAAAAAAAGTAATTTTCTATCTGTATTAGAAGTCCTTATACCGAAAAATTCACCTTATTTATTGAATGACCCGTATATATATATATATATATATATATATATATATATATATATATATATATATATATATAGGTTCTATACATCAGACGTTTTAAATATCAAAGTTTTTATCATGCTGTGTCCCTTCGTGGGTATTCAATACCTTCCAATAATATCAATAACCTTTCAAGAAACTTTCCATCGCTGTCACGGATGATGGCTAGTATAACGTTGAAACCCCGGTTGAATACGATCACCGATAAGTTTCAACTAAAAACAGAGATTACCCTTTGAAATATCAGGTGCTGGAAAGAAAATGATATGTGCCTAGAGTAATTCATAACATTTTGAAATTGGAAATCCGACAACTGAGTTCTAATTCCAGTCGGGTTTTGGGAAAATCAAATTTACGTGCAAATAGCGTTTTAAAATTTTATGAATCCACCTCTTTTCCCGCAAGCTATTTTAAATTTTGATAAGATTTTAACGTATATCATTATAATCTTCAAAATAAAAAATAAAAAACATATTAAAATCTAAAAACATGTTCTGGCTTTAAAAAACCTGAAAAAACAAATCAATCAAATAAATAATTTAATTTTTTATTTTTAATTCGATGTTTTTATTGTTAAAAGCATTCTTTCTAGTTTTAACAAAGTACATTTGAAGTAGACGCTCTCTTTTTTTTTTAATCGTACTATCTAAGACTATTTTCTTGCTTTAAAAACATGCAAAGGGTTGATAAGCGGTAGAAAACGAATCAATCGATCAAAAAAATCCTGATTAGCTACACAGGCATGTCTTTTAGATTTATTGACATTCTCTGGAATATGAATATATATGTTGAAATGTCTATGTATCTGTTATAAATGAATCTTACCACGCCATAAGTAAATTTCCTGGCGTTATCAGTCTGGTGGAGGAGGACGATCCCAGCATCTTTGAGAAATGCCTGAAAAGCAATGTGTTGACCCAAGCCTTGTGAATGAAACTGGGTAGATGGAACACATGGGGGGGGGGCGTCGATAGCTGTGTTAGCACGAAGTCATAAGTCATCGTGACCGAGGGTTTGAGTTTGCTGGCCTTGTTCAAATTCTTTATCATACCGGATAACACACTCTCTCTCAGTAACTGTCTGCTCAGCCTAGTTGCAGTATAAACCAGGTGGCTGGCTCTGTGGGTAGTGAACAAACACTAATGTGCCTGAGCGAGCGTCAGCAATAGGGATTGGTTAGGAATATAAAGACGCGTATCCTCGACGACACGGAAATATTATGAAATAATTTTTCAAATTAAAAACATAAAAAAAGAGATAAAAGTTTGCTTTAAAGTAAATGTTCACACAGATGTAAAATATCTGGTATAGAGAACAGGTCAACCATATTAAATTAATTACTTCTTTACACACATTATTTTATGAAGAAAAAAGGACAAAAATCAGGTCTCATAATAAATATATTTTCATAAAAATTTTAACGAATGAATAATAAAATATGACAAGCAATAAAAAGTGAAATAAAAAAACTTTTCATATTGTACTTAGGGACACCTTAACTAAAAAAATAAGATGAAGTCATTAATTACTGATGTAAAAACATTGCCAGGATTATGTAAGTTTCAGTTATGTAATGCTTGTTAAATTCCATAGTCCAGCACGAACCCTGACCATCGAGTGTACAAGAATTGTAAAACAATCTATAGATATGAACAAATAGATTTATATGTACAAACTGAAATAGATAGATAATGAACATAGATAGATACAACATATAGATATAACATTTACAGGCCTGAATGTCCGAGAAATTTTCATAGAAATTGTTCGTCCTCCGACTCGAATCGAACCTGTATCCTATACGGAACCATCATATAGCCTGACGTGCCTTTAACCGATTGAGCTACAGAGGTTCGTTCGGTTAACATGGTCGATTTTACTGCTTTTAAACTTCAATCTTCCATGAATCTCTCAAATACATTCATATTGCTCAAAAGCCTATCCAAATGTAAAAACAAAAAAATGTTTTAAAGCACACACACACACACACACTTGTAACACACACATTATATATATATATATATATATATATATATATATATATATATATATATATATATTTCCTCATGGAGAGGGAGAAATAGATAGATAGATTAATAGGAACAAACTGCTAGATACAAAAAGCATTTGATATCTTTAATTTAATGAACAAACAGATATATCTATATCTGTCAATTTATCTATCAATATATATATATACTTGTACAGACAGACAGACAGACAGACAGATATGATTTAGACAGATATATAGATAGATTGACAATGAATTTCAATTTATGCGATATATATGCCCTATGGTGGTCCAAAAAATTGGGGGGGACAAAATATACTGTTTAGTCTGAAATCTGGAGTGAAGTCCGTCAGGAGTCTGTCAGTCAGTCAGAGATTTTGTCATTCAGTCGAGTCAGAAGTCCGAAAAGAGTCACGTTCAGACAATTACTACAAGACATTGGAATAGTGATACTGGTCGAAACTACATCAGGTTTCTCTACTAAACCTGATTGTTCGTACTAACACTTTCTACTTCTCTGTATATATTCCTGTTTGTAATATATCTGTTATTCCATATCCGTGTTTGAGTTCTTTTTTATTGGTTTTATTTTAATTGACCATCACCGTGGTACAAGGAACCGGACCATAACACTATCTACCATCTATTATCTCGATATTATCTATTTTATCTATTTTTTTCCGGTCTGCCACAGTAATATCTATCTATCTAAAAATATTATCTATATATCTATTCATTCTGGTCTGTTAATGTTTTCATCTATCTGTATCTTCCAAATTTTTATCTATCTATCTATTATTCATTCCGTTCTGTCTAAATTATCTATCTATCTATCTTGTATCTGACATTATTTAAACGGATATCACCGTGGTACAAGGAACTGGACCATAACAGATAGATAGATAGATAGATTTTTACTCGTCAATTATATATTTTATGTCTTTATAGAGATACAGTTACAAAATCCTATAAGTCCTGCACGTATTTAATGCGCAAAAAACTTATAATAATGTTGGGAATTTTTCCTAAAAACATTAAAACTCATTTTATTTATACGGTGACGTCGTTTGTTTTTCTCTCTCCATGATTTTATATTGGGTGTGCAGATAATAAATAATTTTAACATGACTGAACATGTTTGTTTAACGGTCATTTTATATCTGTGAGGATATATATATATATATATATATGCTAATTAAGTGGAATGGAATTTTCACGTTTGCGTTTTTATATCTTCCTGTTGCACCCAATTCGTATCTATCTATCCAAGATATACTAAATATATATTAATTTATCTATATATTTTATATATCTATCTATCTATCTATCTATCTATGTCAGTTTGTTCATATCTATCTATGTATCTATGAAAATTTCTCCGATTTAACCAGTAGAGAAGACAATATCTATGAATAAAAATGACAATAGGAAACCTGGTAATTATAAATGCCTGTTTCAGAAATATTAGCTTAAATATAAAATAAATTGCCAAAACTGTTCCTCGTAATATATTGGTGAAACAAGTAGAAGTTTGAAAAAATGCATTTATGAGCGCAAAAAAAGAAACAACTTAGCTAATGCACTAGTCATACATAGAAATACATTCAACCACAATTTTGATTTTAAAAAATGCTACACTGATAAAAAAAAGAAAATAACTCACTCAGAAGGAAAATTCTGGAGAGTGCCGCCATAGAAAAATTACCCAAATATTAATCTACGCCCACATTTTTTCCCTATTTCAAATTTTCTTAACAAAATTAATGCTCTTACAAACAAATATACACAACAGATTCATAAAATCAAAAAGAAAATGGTTGAATACATCAACACAGATATAATGACAATATTCTCCACACGTGACAATCACTGACGTTATTTTTCAGTTAAAAATAAGAAAATAGCGTTTCTCTACATTCCAGTTGCTAGGTACATTCTGTTTTTTGTTTTTATTAGTTACTTTGTTCATTTAATTTCATTTTCGTATTTTGCTTTGATAAAGTCTACATTGGACGAAACGCGTCAGCAATTACCAGTTTTCCTATTGTCATTTTTATTCATAAATATTGTCTTCTCTACTATATAAATCGGAGAATTTTTTATATATATATATATATATATATATATATATATATTTAAAAGTGAACATTGAAGTCAAATCAGAGGCGACCGGCTGTTCTCATGCTAGGCGCAATCGTCAGGCGAAATTTGAACTTCAATGTTCACTTTTATAAATGTATATATATATATATTTAATATATATATATATATATATATATATATATATATATATATATATATATATAATTTAATTTATTTGTTTAACAGAAAAGTTTTAAATTATTTTTCAGAGAATTTTTATTTTCTCTGGATCTTCACATTACACTTCACTTTCAAATAAAAAAAGAAAAAAAATGATTTTAAATTTATTGAGGCAGCAGATGTATATGTTTGAATATATATATATATATATATATATATATATATATATATATATATTTAAATATTTATGTAGGAATCATTCATTTTTAACGCATTCAATTACCAGTTTTTATATTGTCACTATGTATCCATCTCAGTTGGTTCATATCTATCTATCTGTCTATCGATCAATCGATCGATCGATCTGTCTATGTTTATCTGTTCATATCTATCTCAATCCTTTTCATATCCATAGATAATCCATATATCCCATATATATATCTATATATATGCCAATATCTATCTATCTATCTATCTAATCAATCTGTTCATTCATTTACATTCATCTATATTTAGATAACAGTTTGTTCATATCCATCTATATATCTATCTCAGTCGGTTCATATTATTATCTAGAACATCTATCTATATATCTATCTATCTATCTATTCATTCCGGTCAAAAGAATGTTATCTATCAAACTATCTATTATCTATCTATCTATTCATTCCAGTATGGCTCGTTGATCTATCTGAATATTCATTCTATCTATCTACCTATCTATCTATTTTTTCATTATCTACCTGTCTCGGTCTTTTCATTATCTATATATCTATTTATCTTTCTATGTCACTTTATTCATATCTATCTATATATCTAAGTCCGTTCATATATATATATATATATATATATATATATATATATATATATATATATATATATATATATTATATATATTTATTTAGGCAGTATTTTCATTCGTACATTTTTCATTAATGATTTATGTTATTAAACTTATCAGACGTTATGAAAAGAATTTACATAAAATAAATAGACAAATTTGTCTTTTTTTATTTAATGAAACAAATCTCAATATTTTATATATATATATATATATAAATATATATATATATAAAAAAAATTAAGAGGTCATTTTTTGACCATTTGATCAAATAAAAGGGGAAACCCAGGGTCACAAACAGATTGTATCTATCCAACCAAAGATAAAAATTGGAAATCATATTATTTTGATATTAAAGCTTTCCTAATATCAAATTTTACTTTAAAAATATGAACAATATAAATATAAATATATATATATATATATATATATATATATATATATATATATATAGAATATAGATATTTTTTATATATATATAGAAAATATATATATATATATATATATATATATATATATATATATATATATGTATGTATATATACCGATCGTCAGGCCTACTATTGCGTCTGAGTTTTGAATTCAATTTAAAATTATATATATATATATATATATATATATATATATATATATATATTATTTTATCATAGAATAGACAAAACCATTTTACCTATTTACAAAGAAAACTTGGTTTAAAATTTCAACTCAACTTAGATGGGTGAGAATAAAAAATGGTAAATACAAAAAGAAACTTTATAGACATTTTTAATGAAACGTCACTTCCTTTTTAGATTTTTTGAGAAAAAATATATTTACATTATTCGGACTATTTTATCATCTTTGTCGCCATATTCAGGTGCTTGGAATGTCGATATGAACCCTTTATTTCACTCACTAAAATTAGACTGTTCTATAATTTGCCATGGTTAATGGATGTAGTATATCAGTTATCTTCTGTTAATTTCTCTCTCCAAGTTCTCCATTATTGAACTCGCACTCTTTGGGTCCTGTCACTGGATCTACATAATATATTTATCCACTGTGCAAGGCTCCATGAGGACACATATGGGTATGAATTTCTACAATATTATTAAACCTAATGTCTTCAGCAACCATTTTTACCAGTGCTCATATTGCAATTTTGCAAAGAAAAAATATACATAAAAAAGAAAAAAGATGGCGGAGTGAAACAACAGATGCTTGTTTGCAGTTCATGAAGAATGGATTGGGTGTTTAATGTTGACTGGTCTGTGGATTTTTTTTTTTCCCTGATAAACACCGGTCAAAAAGTCCAGGCACATCATCATCTATATAAAGCGTCCTCAAGTGAGAGGGGGGGAATTCTGGAGAAAGGATTTTTTTATTACGTTTATTTAGGTATAAATTGTAGTGGTTACTTTGTATTAGTAATTGAAATGTTATTTTGGTTTACTATAAAAGTTCTAAAGCCGAATTTGTTATATATTTATGTTGGGATTATCATTACAAATTCCGTAATCAATGAACGTAAATGGATTAAAATTTGAAGTAATGATTATTATATTTAAAAATAAAATAATAAGGTATGTTAATATAATATTTTATAATCAAATTTTGAAATATTCCTGGACCGT